AGCTTTGCTAGCAAAGCCCCACCCTAGCTCTGGAGATAAAGGGCAGGGGGCAGAGATGAATAGAGGTGGCAGACCAGTGGTGGGTTCCGGATCCCGTTGCAAGCAGTATGCTGCAACGGGGCTCGACGTCCACACGCACGAGTGCATGCGTACTTACCACCCGCGATGCTCCAGCTGCTCAGCGGAGCGGAGCGCAGGCACCGTACGCTCCATGTGCATGCGTGAAAGCCCCGATCGGCCCAAATACGGGTAAGGAGGGGGGTGGGCCCACCGGAGCACAGTACTGGAACGGTACCTGGTGCTCCTAACAGGCACCGGTACACCCATACCGGGGGCGTACTGGTCATATCCCACCATTGTGGCAGACAGTTATTCATCTGTCGAGGTGGCGCAGTGGTTAGGGTGCAGTACTGCAGGCNCGTCCACCTGTGGCATTACTCCCAAGTCGGCCCCTGTTCTTAGCTGTTCCCTTCGTCTGGCAATTCTGCGCATGCGCACACTGGGAACAGGCTCCAGCTGTTTGTCTGCCTCACTGATGTCTGACTCTGAAGGCAGCTGATAACTGGCATAGGGCCCTGGCCCCCTCTCTGCCTCCGACGCAGAGCCCTCATCGGAGCCTTCCCCAGACTCCAGGACTGGCCCGTGTTCCTCCCCAACCTCCTCACTGTCCGAATCTGCTGCCAGTTACGCTGGCGGGCCACAACACTCAGCAACCATGTTACTAACAGCTGTACTGATTCACTTAACAACTGTAGGCCAAAGGTCGTAAATGGGGGAATAAACTGCCTGGTTTAGCAAATATAGAGATGTTGGGCTTGATTGTCTAAATATCCTTTTGTCATTTAGCATGGTCTTTTTAAAACCTAATTTTATTTCAGTTTTCCTTTCCCCCCTCCCAAAACTTTCTTCCCTTGTAATGAAATCTGACAGCTCTCACGGCTCGTGGGAAGTGAAATCATAAATCACAAGGAAAAAGTAGACAGGATTTACTTAACTCAAATTTAAATGAAATAACATTTTCTGTTTGCTCGTGTTGAGCTATAAAGTTATTGTGATCCGTGGAACTTCCAAACGCTGCCTTAGAATTGCACAGAAACTTCAAGAAGCCGGTTTCGGGATTCTACATTTCTTACTGTTTATTTGGTTTGAGAGAAAGATATTCCAGTGAAAAAGCTGGTAATCACCATACAGCAATTGCATATAAATTGTTTTCTGTTATTCTTTCTTCCACTGAAGCTAGAATGTTATCACATACAATCTCCCGGGAAGCAAAACTCATCATGTCACTGTAGTATTGTACAGATGAGTCTAGTAATTCTGGAATAATGTTGTACCCTGAGACAGAACTCACATCCGTGGCAGATCACAGTGGGTGACCTTCTTCCTAGGAATGAAATCAATTCACCTTTATCTTCCTGGAAATGTTACGTTACTGTAAAATTAAGTGTTTTGGAAGTGGCCCTGGCGAGAAGTACAGGAGAAATACTTAGCATTGGATTTTATGAAACAACTCAACACTCAATACGTAGATCAGCCTCTAACCATCTTTAAGCTTTAGAAGTGTCCCTTCGAGGTGAAATTCAATGTAGAGAGAGGCAGCGATATGATGAAGTTGGAAAATGCCTCTAGAATCTCCTTTTAATGACCCCATAATCCCTCGAGGGGTAGAGTCTGTGCAACTGAATGGAGCTGAGTGTTTACTGCCCTTCCTGTTGCCAATGCGGAGTTTTGTTCGGCAGGGATATTCTCAGTGCACCCAGAGAAATATCTGCCTCTACCTAGGATCGAACTCACAGCCTCCTGATAGTGAGGCGAGAGCTCCACCTCTAGGCCACCGCACCACTCATGCCTCTAGAATACATCAAAGTAATTTCTACAATACACTCAGTCCTTGACGTATGACAACAATTGGGGGCAAAATTAACGTGATACATTTGCTACATGAATTTTGCCCAATTTTATGACTTTTCTTGCCACTGTTGTTAAGGGAATCGCTGCAGTTGTGAAGTCAGGAACACGGTTGTTAAGTGAATCTGGCTTTCCCCGTTGACTTGGCTTGTCAGAAGATTGCAAAAAGGGATCCCTGTGACCCGGGGACATGGCAACCGTCGTAAGTACCTGCCAGTTGCCAAGCCTGTTTGAATTTTGATCGCGTGATTCTGGGGATGCTGCAGTGGTCGTTAAGTGTGAAGGCGGTCGTAGCTCACTTTTCTCAGGACCGTTGTAACTTTGAAGTCACTGAATGAACTTTCATAAGTCAAGATTTACCTGTACACACAAGACCCTTATGAAGGATGTCAATTTGACAAGTGTTCCCTGAAAGGAAGCTAAAATTGCCCAGCCAACTGGAAAATGGCATATGTTTTTTAAAACAAGTTTCTCTCCGGATTATCTCAATATCTTTCAGGAACAGGGGAAGCCACAATAGTCTGTAACCAGCAGCTGAAGATCTATCTTTGTAAAATAAAGTCAAACTACTGCAAAGTCAAGGCGGCCAAGGTATACTTGGAATAAAATGTGCTCCTGATCAATATGTATTCGTGGGTTGACATTTCTAAATCTGAGAAAATAACATAGAACACTTTGGGTTTAAGTTATTTGTGTTTATTTTATATTTCTACAGCACAGACTTAATTTCGTCTGAACAATGCATGCTTTTTGATATTTATTTTAAATATTGCAAGAGGAAAAAGAAGTTTATTACAGTGACGACCTTTAAGCCTGGGCTGATATGTCGCAAACATATAACTTTATTCTGTGATCACTGCCACATTTAGCATAACAGTGGAATGAATATATATATATTTATATATTCATTCTCTAGTCAAGTGTAAAAGGTTAAACAATCCTTCAACAAATGGAAATGCAAGCTGCTTTCTTGTCCACATTTTCTAATGAAAACTCCCTAATGCCTACAAAGGAAAAGCTAATTCAACACTCCATATTTATTGCTCTATGAAAGAAAGAAAAAATACAGACTTCGTGTAGCTGTTCATTTAGGTTTAATCAAACTAAAATGTATTGCCCTGCTTAAAATTCATTCCTGCCTTCTGCACCATGTACTTTGATGTTATTAAATGAATGCTATTTATCCACCACGATGCGAGAAGTCATGGGGAAGACTGTTGAATGATCATTCCAGAAAACTTTTTTTTTGCTGGTTTGCTAACAAAAAATTACTGAATTTAAGAGGATCAAAAGAAATCAGGTGCCTTTCCAAAAATGAAGTTCAATTTCAGGGAAAGAAAATATTTCATTGGATAGACCACAATAAAAACATTCTGGAGATGTACAGGAACTAAAAACCTCATTGTCCTACCTAAACCCATGAAATCCAATGAGAACCTTCCATCTTAAGTCTGTTTATTTCAAGCCTGACTGCATGTAGTTAGTTTACTTGTATTGTGTATAATTTACCGCCATGGGATGAAGCAATGGCCGTGATGATGATTATAAAACATTCAACCCTGGATAACCCTGAAATTTCTGCAGGGGAACGGATGATGCTTTCAACTACCATATTTTTCAGAGTATAAGATGCACCAAGATTTTGAAGGGGCAAATTAAAAAAAAAGCCGTTTTTGCATTCTGCAGACCTCGCGAAAATGGGCCCATTTTTGTTAGGAGACTTGTAGAGTTCTCCTGGAGGCTGGGAGGGGGGCAAAAACGAGCAAACAACGGCCCATTTTTTGCTCATTTTTGCCCTCCCCATCCCCTGTCAGCACTCTGGAAGCCTCCTAAAGGCTATGCACGGCCATTTTTTGCAAAGAGGGCAAGGTTTCAGGAGGCCAAAAATGCTGTATTCAGTATATAAGATGAACCCAGATTTTAGCCCTCTTTTGGGGGTGAAAAAGGTGCGTCTTATACTCCAAAAATACGGTAGGTGGGTAATTCGCTTCTTTTCTTCGCAAAACCTACTAGATATTTAGTATCTATCCTTGCCCTGCCCTAATCTTTTCTCGTCATTCGATGAAAACTGGCACCGAGAGATGCAGAATCTCAAGGAAATGCCAAAGTATTATCTAAAAAAAACAAAACTTGGGCCTCTGAGGTAAACACACAAGCAAACATTTTAAAGAGTCAAAAAATGTGGGAAACAACGCAGGCATTTTCAAACTTAAAAAAAAAATTACAGATGCTAACTTGGTATGCTCCGTCTTCCGTGTATCCGTTAATATGAATAATAATGGCAAATAATTGGGGGGGGAGGATAGAAATCTCAGAAATGGAACTAAACAAAAACGGCTCAACGCAAATACGTTTCAAGAAGAACATAATTTCTTGTTCTTGCCACACTATAACCCCACTACAAATGGGAGGGAGGAGGGAAAAAAGATCGAGTGAATGAGAAAAGTCTTTCTGCAGCAACCTTCCTTCTGTTCGCTATAATCCCTGTTTCTAATGCTATTATTTGGCACTTTTCTAAAAACTCATTGTGTTGAGACGTTGGATGTTCGACAAAGCTTTCTGGCTAGACCACCCCTCAAATATCTTTAATATTTGTCCAAGGAACACAATACAATTAGAGAAACAATGATAAGCTCAGGCATACATACAATGGGGACATTTAAGGGAGGGAAAGACATTTAAACTCTGGGGTTTTAAATTTTGTGAACTCATCTGCTTTCTAAACTAAAGCAAAACACATGGGAAACCATCAATTAGAATCTACAGCCTGGCAGAATGCATTTCAAAACAAAATCAATTCTTCTTCTTCATTGTCAATCGTTACTTGCTTGAAAAGCCAAGAATATATTGCTCAATTTACAAACGTTATCAGGTGAAAGTTAAGGCTACATGCTTCTTAAGGCATAGTTATAGATGGAGATGCAGTAAAAACGAAACAACAAAAAAAAAAAACACCTTAACCAGTTTTAGAATTCTTGTCTTCGGGTTTCTTATTGGAAAAACCCTCTGCAATCAGTCATCTGTTTATGGCTTCCAGGTTCATAAGAAATATTGTACTTTTATCTCTTTGTATACAATGTATTATCACGTACCCAGGTGTCAGCTTGAACAGGCCTGATGTTGCATAATAACACTTCTTCATAGTTTCCATAGTCACAAAATTTAACAACAGCAGTTGTCCCAGAAGAATGGAGAGCTTCGATTTCTGCCCGATAAAACTGGGGTGGGGTGTGGGGGGGGGGGGACGAAGGGAGAAAAGAAAAAAAAATGTTTTAAAAAATGTCATTTTACAAAACAAGCGATTGCATATTTCAACGACTAAATCACAATCTGTGCATTCCCGCAGTGATAATACGGGTCACCGTCGACTTACGAGTACAACGAATCCGAACATTTTTGTTGCTTAACAAAAGACGCTGGTCGAGCGAATTTTTGCCCCATTGCACGAACTTTCTGGGCACCGTTGTTAAGTGAATCGCTGAAGTTGTTAACTTAGTAACACGGTTGTTAAGTGAATCTGGCTTCAGCCACTGATTTGATTGTCAGAAGGTCGCAAAAGGGACCTTCACTACGCCACCTCGGCTCTCTTCTTAAGAAGCTTCTTCAGCTTTGACTGGATGGAAGGATTTATACTCCTAGCAGATAGCTGGTCATTTACATTCTTTTAGTGAGTCACTGAGGACACTTGGACGTTCATCTGTGTCTTCAGGTCATCTACCATATTTTTTGGAGTATAAGACACACCGGAGCATAAGACGCACCAAGATTTTGAAGAGGCAATTTTTTTAAAAAAAGTTTTTCCACTCTGCAGACCTTCATGAAAACGGGCCCGTTTTTTGGGAAAAAAAGAAAAAAGAAAAGACATGCATAGCCTTTAGGCAGCTTATAGAGTGCTCCTGGAGGCTGGGGGAGAAAAAAACGAGCAAACAACGACCCGTTTTTCACTCATTTTTGCCCACCCCAGCCCCCAGGATAGCAATAGCAATAGCAGTAGACTTATATACCGCTTCATAGGCCTTTCAGGCCTCTCTAAGCGGTTTACAGAGAGTCAGCATATTGCCCCCAACAATCTGGGTCCTCATTTTACCCACCTCGGAAGGATATTGAATAGAGAGGAAAAAGAATTGATGGTTAAACCAAAATTCTGTGTTAGAATTTGAAATATCCCCAAATTTGATCATTGTTTGGGAATATTTAAATAATAGAAGTCAGATTACAACTTGTTCCCCTTTGTAGATAAAGATAACCCCCTTTTTGAAATAAACTCTAAATGCTCCTGAAGACAAAAAAAAAAATCAATATTAGATTTTTTTTTTAAAAAAAATTGGTCAAGAAGGAATCAGGTATCAATTTCCTCTCCCAAGACAGTGTGCTAAGTGGCAGGTAATCTGTTTCTTCTGCTGACAAACAATTAATTTTCCCACCAAAGTGGGTTCTTGGGCTCCTGGCTCCCTAGAACTGAATGACAGTAACTAAGAGCAAACCAAGACAACCCTTGGATGATGGTTGAGCCTCCTGAGATGAGGCATCTTGGGAGTTGCAATTCCTGGTAGGAGTTATTGGAGAGTCAAGTCTCCATCTTTCCTCTCAGCTATTCGTTTTTTGTTTGTTCTATGCATGCCTGGGTTTTAAGCACATGGTTTGAAATTTCTTTTCTATCTTGATTTTTATTTCAAAAGTTAATTGACTGGTTGAAAACTAATTTACTCTTAACTCTTTAGTGGATTTCAACATGAATGTTTTTTTTCACCGTTTCACTCTGCTGTTCTGAATTACTTTCACTTTCTCTTATAGAAGTTGACAGAGATTTCTGTCAAAAGTGACCTGTATGGATTTTCATTTGCATTGGATTTTTACAACATGGATTTCATATTTCCTTATCTTTTAAAAAGCTCTTTTCTTGATTTTTTTTAATGCTTGGTGGAAATTCTTTTCTTTTTTAAATCCTGTTTTATTGTGAGACATATTATCTTAACATTCTTTGTGGTTGCTTTGTTCTAGTATATCCAAGTTTCCTGTCCTTGAAAGGAACTGTTTATGTCTGGTTATGAATAGGCGGTTACAAGATTATATTAAGAATGTAAAAAATGTACAACTTAAAAATAAAACCCTCTGAATAACAAAATAACAGAGTTTGAATGAACCATGGAGATTTTCTAGTCCAACTCCCTGCTCAAGTAGAAGACTGTATACCATTTCAGACAAATGGTTGTCCAATCTCTTCTTTAAAACCCAGGATTGTATTAGCTTCTTTGGCTACTATTGCACAGTGCTGGCTAACATCAGGAAGCATTACATACACTGCCTTTAGTTGTACAAATTAAGGTCAGGGTATAAATGTAATAAATAAATCAGCCATGGCAGGAAAGCCTAGAAGTTCCAGCTTCTATTTCAGTTGCAGAATCTCATCACCTCCTAATTGGCCTAGTGCAATATGCTCTCCATGGGGCTGAAGATAATTCAGAGACTATAACTGGCTTAAAATGCAGTGGTTTGATAACTAATAGGAGATAGTAGATTCAGGTTACTTCTGTAATAAACCTGGATGGTTTAATTAAATATTAAAATAAATTTAAAAGTACGTTAAACATTGATATGCTTTTAAATGTTTAAAATATTAATAGTAATGATTTAAAATTTAATAAAATTAACATATTGGAACAATATCTGAAGGACAGTGAAGAAGATGCACTGAAGCCAGTATACCAGAAAGGCGTATTGAGTACTGGAGAGCCCAAACTGGCTACAAGAGAGACTAATTGAAGAATAGAAAATAGCAGTTAGACTTATATACCGCTTCATAGGGCTT